AGCTCATCAGCTTGAGGTTGAACTGCAGTTGACAATGAATTCAAACTGAGACCCCATAGTCTGTGAAAATGTCTGGAATGTTCTGAGTGGGTCTCATGTTTAAGGAACATCCTGACGAAGTGAAGTAAATGCAGAGGGGAGAACCATGGTGGTGAAAGGCCTGGAAGCCACATTTGTCACACAGGAGGCTGAAGAAAGAAACTGGGTTTTTAGTCTGAAAGGGGAAAGCCTCAAGCAAGACAGGATGTTAATCTTTAATGATAAGAAGGGCCATTATTTGGATGCAGGTTTAGCCGGATTCTGTGTAGTTCCAGAGGAGAGGTCTAGGACTACTGAGTAGAAGTTGTGAAGCATCAGTTTTTGGCCTTATGGAAGGAAGAGCTATCGATCTCTTCAAAAATGGAACGAGTTGTCTCATAAATAAAGTACTGAGGTTTTATAGTCCTTGGGAATTTGAAACAGAAAATAGACTGAAGAGTGGCCTAAGTTTTATGTGTTACATTCTATGTATTTAAAACTAACAGGGACCCCTGGGTGGCTCAGTGGTTGAGCGCCTGTCTTCGGTCCAGGGCGTGATCCAGGGGTCCTGGGATCGAGTCCTGCATCGGGCTCCCTGCAAGGAGCCTGCTTCTCCCTCTGCCTGTGTCTCTGCCTCTCTCTCTGTGTCTCTCATGAATAAATAAATAAAATCTTTTTTTTTTTTTTAAAGAGGGAGCCCGAGGGAGAGAGGCAGAGACACAGGGAGAGGGAGAAGCAGGCTCCATGCAGGGAGCCCGATATGGGACTCGATCCTGGGTCTCCAGGATCATAACCCAGGCTGCAGGCGGCGCCAAACCGCTGCGCCACCAGGGCTGCCCTAAATAAATAAAATCTTAAAAAAACTAAAAACTAACAATGCTGGGGGAAAAGAACAAAAAACAAAACCAACAGTGCTGGAAGAATGGCGCGTCTGATGTTCTTCAGGGACTGTTTAGTGTGGGCATCTTGACCAAATCTGGGCATCTGATCCTGAGTAGGCCGGCAAGCTTTGTTCTGTTCTGGATCAACATATGTGGGTGCTTTCCTGGCTTTTAGTTCTGCAACTGATGCTGGGCCTTAGTGCTAGAACTAGCCGCCTGCTCCAGGAGAGCCCATGTAGGTTAGGTTTGATGACCATGCAGGAGCATCTCTTTCTCTCTTTAGTTTTTTAAGATTTTATTTACTTGAGGGCAGCCCCGGTGGCACAGCGGTTTAGCGCCACCTGCAGCCCAAGGCGTGATCCTGGAGACTTGGGATCGAGTCCTACGTCAGGCTCTCTGCACGGTGCCTGCTTCTCCCTCTGCCTGTGTGTCTGCCTCTGTCTCTAGCTGTGTCCCTATGAATAAATAAATACAATCTTAAAAAAAAAAGGTATTATTTACTTGAGAGGGAGAGAGAGAGAAAAGAGAGTGCATGAATGGCGGGGAGGGGCAGAGGGAGAGGAGAAGCAGGCTTTCTACTGAGCAGGGAGCCCAAAACACCTGGTCCCAGGACCCCAGGATCATGATCTGAGCTGAAGGCAGACGGCCAACCGACTGAGCCACCCGGGTGCCCCTCAGGAGCATCTCTTTAGATGATCATAGAAGTGTCTTCTTCAAAGCTTCTTCCTCCAAAGCAGGAATGGAACTGTACCCGAGGCAAGGGTCCAAGGCCACGTTCTTGTGGACTTGGCCCAGTATTGGGTGGAGGTGGAATTACAGCCAGAGGCAGGAGGGTGTAGGACATTTCTGTCCTTGAGGTTGACTCACTATGGCCTCCGTGTTACCCAAGCCCTGTGGTTTCCTCCTTTCCCTGCCCCTGAAGCAGGAGGTTGGGCTCTGCTTCAAGAACAGTGCACTAGGCCAGGCTCTGGGGTCCCCGGTCAGCTATATCCGCTGGGTTGAGGACAAAGAGCCCAGTCAGCAGGGCTGCCTGCCATGCCCGTTTCCTGCTTCTGTGGCCAAGAGGCCCTGAAGGAAGCTGGGCTCTGGGGAAGGTGAGGGCCAGCTCTCTTTAGGCAGTGCCTCTGCTCCTGGTTTCTTTCCACAGGATTCCCTTCTTCCTTCAAACTGAGTCCCTGTGCTTAATACAGAGAGTAGATCAGGGCGAGATGGTGGGTCAGTGGCTGAGAGATAAGGCTCAGGTGTGGGGGAGGGAGAAGAACTGGGGTAAAAGGAGGGATACTTGCGGATAGATGTGGAATTCAAGTAGAGAAGCAGTAGGGATAAAATGCCGACCATCCGTGTATTTTCATTTCAGAATTCATTGTAGTAAAGGATGAGTAGTTGCCTTTTCGCTGCCCACGTGCCCAGACAAAGCCAAGAACAGATCCTTGTGGCACAAGGGCTGCAGATGGACTCGGACCCAGAACTAGTCCCTTTTGGTGTTGTGGTTCTCCTGAGGGCTAACCAGTACTCCCAAGGAGGTGATCCCATTCACTTGTGAATAGGGCAGCATCAGTTGTCCCTGCTGTCTCTTTTCATTTCCTTTCATTTTGTTAAGTAAGCTCTACACCCCGGTGTGGGCCTTGAACTCATGAGCCCGAGATCAAGAGATCAAGAGTGACGTGGTCTACTGACTGAGCCAGCCAGGTGGCCTCCCCCCATTTTTTGGTCTCTGGTGTTTTTTCTTTTCTTTTTCTTTTCCTTTTCCTTTTCCTTTTCCCTTTTCCTTTTTCTTTTTCTCTTTTCTTTTTCTTCTTTCTCTTCTCTTCTCTCCTTTTTTATGATTTTATTTGAGAGAGAGAGTATGATCAGGAGGAGGGAGAGGGAGAAGGTGACTTCCTGATGAGCAGGAAGCCTGATGTGTGGGGCTCGATCTCAGCTCTGGAATCATGACCCAAGCCAAAGGCAGATACTTAACCGACTGAGCCACCCAGACTCTCTATCCTTGGTGTTTCTACTCAGAAACCTGGCTCGGATCCTATTTGTAAGGGCAGCAGAGCCCGAGGGTAAGGCATACAGGTTACAGGATGGAGAGAAGGGGCATGAGGGCTATTAAATGGCTGGAAACTGAAGTCCAGTGGGGAGTAAAGGCTGAGTGGTTGAGGAGGATCAACAGATCTGAAAGATTTGTGGAGGGTGACATACAGATCACTTTGTGGGGTGCTTGTGGAGACTGTGTGCTTGTATCTTTAATTATTAACTTAATACTGAGGAATTATGGGTCTATTTTTTGCCCAGCCCCATGATAAGGTTTGGTTGTTTATTGTCTTGTTTATTAGGCAGAAAGACAAGTGATTGTATAGGACAAGAATGCCATTTCTAGAGAAGAGCAGAAAAGAACTTGGGCAGCGAGTAGAATAGGAGGGGTATAAAGGAGGGAGAGCGAGCGACAGAAGAGGAGCTAGCTGTTGTTCGAGGTTGGTCTTTCCTGCATCTCAGGATAAAGATGCTTCTGGGCCAGTGTGTGGTGAGGCCAGGACACAAGAAAATAGGAGGATTAGGGCCAGTGAGTGACATGCCACTGCCAGAACTGAGGCAGGGAGTACCACTTCCTCTGTTGGTGGCATGAAGCAGGCAAGCCCAGTGCCAGACCTTCTCCACTGGGAAGGCAGGCTGATTCTGACCTTGCCCTTGGAGCTCTTGAAAGGATTAAGCCCTCCTCCTGGTGCTCTATTTGTTGAGCTGGGAAGGCAGGAGCAGTGAGGTGATTGACTGCCACTTCGTGTAGCTGCCTGCCTGCTTCAGATGCTGGTGGGGGATTGAGGAACATTTAGCTGGGTTTCAGAATCAAATTTTATATATATATATATATATATATATATATATATATATATATATATGTATGTATATTTTATAAATATATATACAAATATATATTTGTATTTATATATATTTAAAGATTTTATTTATTTTTAAGAGAGAGAGAGAGAGAGCAGAGGGGCGGGGTGGGCGGGGAGGGGGGAGAAGCAGGCTCCCCACTGAGCAGGAAGTCTCAACCTGGGGCTCCATCCCAGGACCCTGAGGTCATGACCTGAGCTGAAGGCAGACACTTAACTGATGGAGCCATTCAGGTGCCCAGAATCATTTCTTTTCACTTTCTCCCCTGCCACCTCCTGAGGATATTGGTCAACCTCAGCATGTATGGGTTTCCCTTCTTGAATTTCTTCTTCTGAAGTAGTACAATGGGACTTTTTTGGGGATAACGGATTTCTCCAAGATCCTGATAAAACCTATGGACTTTTTTCTTAGAAAAATGCATATACTTTAGACATTTGTAAATAACCATTTACAAGGGATTTCAGGCTTTGTGGAAGCGCCCTGGGTTAAGAACTCCCGCTCTCAGGGTGATCCATGAACTTTTCCAAAGCTTATCTAGGTAAAAGGGTTGCCTCCACTCTAGAGTAGGACTGAAGGAATGCTTGTGGCTCATTCTTTTGCATTGTCTAGTCTGGAAAAATGCTGTCCCCACTCTATAGAAACCTTGGCTCCAAGAATCTTTCCAAGTACAAAAACAAGCAGCTGAGCTGGCAGGCAGTAGCAGGAAGTCTGGCCCCCATTCCAATCCTTGGCCACATGTCCCGACCTGCTGGCCCAGGCATTGGATAAGCCACAACAGGATTTGTCAAGGTTAACAATATTACAGAGTGCTGAGTCCTGGAGTCCACATCAGGAGGTAAAGGGGTGCAAAGCTGGGAGAGAAGGTGACTTTTCAGAGCCAACCAGAACACATCACTAATCCTTTATAGCTACCAGTTGCCTCCCGCTGTGGTGAGTGCTTTTGTATGCAAGCAAATCCAGTTACTTTGTTTTTTTCTTCCGGGTAAATGCTACGGGGTGTGTATGTGTAGTGCTGCCTACACAGATGCTCAGCGGGTGCCTTTGAATGCTAATGGTGAGGACTTGCTGGGCAGAGGTTTCAAATACAGAGCAGGTCAAATCCCAAACACGTCTGTCTTTGGCCAAAGGCTGTGTTTCTATGACTGTTACTGAAAATAATGCTTGGGAGTCTAAGGCTCTCTGGGTGGTAGGGTCAGTCACCAATCAGGGTTATTTTTCCAGGTCTCTTAACCTTCATTAACTGTGCCTATGTCAAGTGGGGAACGAGGGTACAAGATGTCTCCACCTATGCTAAAGTGTTGGCGCTCATCGCTGTCATCATCGCAGGCATCATTAGACTTGGCCAAGGTAAGATGGAATAGCAATGAACTCTTGTGCATTTTCTTGAGCCACATTTCTTTTTTTTTTTTTTTAAAGATTTTATTTATTCATTCATGATAGTCACAGAGAGAGAGAGAGAGAGGGAGAGACACAGGCAGAGACACAGGCAGAGGGAGAAGCAGACTCCATGCAGGGAGCCCGATGCGGGATTCGATCCCGGGTCTCCAGGATCGCGCCCTGGGCCAAAGGCAGGCGCCAAACCGCTGCGCCACCCCCAGGGATCCCTTGAGCCACATTTCTTAAATGCCCTTTGTGCATTCTCATTTGCTAAGTGCCGTTATTTCCATTTTATAGAGGAAACTGAGGCTGCAGAATAAAGTATCTTGCCCTAGCTAGTACGTTAATGGGGATTTGGGAGGGTGACTTGGCAAAAGGGCTGACAGTTGTCATGTCCTGGGAGCCGGCTTAGGCAGACTGTCAAGCCCAATGCAGTGGCTGATTGTTCTGCCCTTGGAAGTATCCTGCCCTTGTATCTATTCCTCTCCAGGTCTCAGGTAGGAACACCTACCCACTACTCCATTGCCCTGGGCATAGGGAGACCTACCCTTCCCCCATTCTGTACCAGCCTCTTTGTGGTGTTGGGAAGGGGGTAGGAATTGGGCAGCTTACAGGGCAGGATAGAACATCACTTTTTTTTTTTAAGATTATTTATTTATTTATTCATAGAGACACACACAGAGAGAGAGAGGCAGAGACACAGGCAGAGGGAGAAGCAGGCTCCATGCAGGGAGCCTGATGTGGGACTTGATCCAGGGTCTCCAGGATCACGCCCTGGGTTGCAGGTGGTGCCAAACCGCTGCACTTAGAACATCACTTCTGTCCCGGAGTGGTTTCTTACCCCAGAAAGCCACCATGGTCCTTCCTGTCAAGATCCCCATGCTGCTCTCTGCATTGCAGCCATCACTGTAGTGGTCATTCTCCCTTTCCCTGTTCTTTTACCAGTGTCCTTGCTGCCAAAGGTGTTCTAAGCCACTCACTTGCTGTTACTGTCATGTTCCACTCCTGTTCTGGATCACTTTGAAGCTGGGGGGTAGGCTGTTAATCCTTCTGCCTTTTCCCTGTTCTGGATTCTAGGAGCCTCAAATCACTTTGAGAATTCTTTTGAGGGTTCGTCATTTGCAATGGGTGACATTGCCTTGGCATTGTACTCCGCTCTGTTCTCCTACTCGGGCTGGGATACTCTCAATTATGTCACTGAAGAGATCAAGAATCCCGAGAGGTAGGTATCTCACCATCTATTTTCCATGGCAGTAAGGGTAGCTATCATTTACTGAGATAGCACACCGCAACCTCTGAGACAGATTTTATCAGCTCCACTTGAATAGATGGGAGGCCTAAAGCCCAGAGAAGTAACTTGTCCATGAGAACAGCAGGCCTTTTCACATCTGGCTGTTCATGCCTGCATTACAAAAAAATTTTTTAAAAAGTTTTTAAAAATTTATCCACGAGAGACACAGACAGAAAGAGGCAGAGACAAGGCAGAGGGAGAAGCAGGCTCCTCACAGGGAGCCTGATGCAGGACTCATCCTCAGACCGGAATCATGCCCTGAGCCCAAGGCAGACCTCAACCACTGAGCCACCCAGATGCCCCTCATACCTGCATTAATTACAGCAGATTGTACCATGTGTTCACACATGCTGTCTCACGGGTTTTCCTTGATACTCACCCACCCTATTCCCACATAGGTAACTTTAGGTCACAGATGCCCCCAAACTTCCCTGTTTTTATTTTGAGCCCTTCCTGGTGTCTCCAGTTTGTACTGACATAGTGGTATTGTGCCAGCATTTAACAGCATTACTTCAACCTTGTTACTCTAAATTATTCTGTAGTCCTGCAGTGACAAGAGCACTGGACAGAGTCAAAGGGCCTGCAGCCTGTCTTTTTTTTTTTTTTTTAATATTTTATTTACTCAGAGAGAGAGACACACACACACGGAGACACGGACGCACAGGCAGAGGGAGAAGCAGGCTCCATACAGGGAGCCTGACATGGGACTCAATTCTGGGTCTCCAGTATCAGGCCTTGGGCTGAAGGTGGCACTAAACTGCCAAGCCACTGGGGCTGCCCCATGGAGCCTGTCTTTCTACTGATTTGAGTCCCCAGCCAACTCTGCCTGCTTCCTTATCTGTAAATTGAGGGGGTTGAATTATGTGATCTCCAGAGCCCTTCCTGGCTCTAAAATTCAATGTTTCTTGGAACTAAGATTACCAGGGAGTGGAGTTTCTGTAAATTTTTAAGTCAAAATATAAACTCCTCTTGGCACACATCCAGTGTTGCAGTCCTAGGAGTGGGACTGAGGCCTGGGTGGTGCTTCCACCTACTGGACAGAAGCTAAATGACTGGAGTGTGCCCCCCCCCCCCCCCGCCCCAGGATGTTTATGAAGGTCATAGCTTTATTGGTCTAGGGGACCTTGTCTTCATGTCTTTTTCTTGGCCATTGGTTAGGATGGCACCCAGGGTTCTCACATTGAGTAAGGGGGTAGAATAAACAGTTCCCAGATTGCTTATTTAGGTACACACATTGTTCTTGTTAATGAGGGCCTTATTCTCTGGATTTCACAATTTGCCTTATTTTCTCTTGTATTTCTCGACCTTAAGACAGATTTCCCAGTGCTGACAATTGAGAGAAGGAATCCTGACGCTAAGGAATCCTGTTGGATGTAAAACAACAACAAAACATTAAAAAGTACCTCCTTCCCCTGCCCAGTTTCCTGTGCTTTTATGTGGGGACATAGTTCTTCACTAATCCTTTTTCTGCTTTTTGGTTAGCCTTTTCTCTAAATGTGATATTCCTTTCCCTTGATGCTCTTTCTGAACTCAAGAACGAAGTCACTATTGTACACAGTTTCAAAGGCAAAAAGCACTGGTGAAATGTACAGGAGGCCCCATCCCTGGATTGCTGGCAGAGTCTAAGTATCAAAGATGGGGATGTGACAGAGACTAATGTATGCATTATTCTATTTGGCTGTAGGAATCTGCCCCTCTCCATTGGCATTTCCATGCCCATTGTCACCATCATCTACATCTTGACCAATGTGGCCTATTACACCGTGCTAGACATGAGGGACATCCTGGCCAGTGATGCTGTTGCTGTGGTAAAGGATTTTCACTAGCAAATGGCTGAGGGTGTGTTTGTGGGCTTCTCGGAATACTGCAGCTCCTGCAAGTCTTGGAAAGGGGGTAGTCCTTGTAAGGAGTACGCTTAGGGGCACCTAGCTGTCTTAGTTGGTCAAGTGTGTGATTCCTAATCTTGGGTTTATGAGTTTGACCCCCGTTTGGTGTAGAGATTACTTAAAATAAAAAAAAAATATATATTTATATATGCTTTGGATACTGGGCTTACAAGGTTGCCACCCCAGCTGTGGAAGAAGGGTTGGTTAGAGTAGGAGCCATTGGGGACATGCTTGCCCATGCCTTTCATCCTTTTTCGGTCCTGTTAATGACTTTTCTGTTCCTTTCTCTTAGACTTTTGCAGACCAGATTTTTGGAATTTTCAACTGGACAATTCCACTGGCAGTTGCATTATCCTGCTTTGGTGGCCTCAATGCCTCCATTGTGGCTGCTTCTAGGTATGAGTGGTGTCTTTTATGGGTGGAGTATTGTAAAGAGCTATGGCAGGGAAGGGTAGGACGCAGAGTTTAGTCACCATACTCCCCAGATTATATTAACCCCTTTGTTCTTGTTTCCATCAGCAGCTTTCAGTTCTCACTAATCTCAAAATTGAACTCCATTCCATATTATTCAAACTCTTTTGAAGGAGGGGAGGACAGCAGGAGGGCTATGAGGCATGTGAACCAGTCATACCCTGTGTCCCACATTTTTCTCAAGCCTCTCTCATCTTACGCAAAATAGGCTTTTCTTCGTGGGCTCAAGAGAAGGCCATCTCCCTGATGCCATCTGCATGATTCATGTTGAGCGGTTCACACCAGTACCTGCTCTGCTCTTCAATGTAAGTGACCTCAAGGATAAAAAGCCAGACTGTGGGAGAAATGTGGACAGTAGTAGTGGGGGGTGCCTGGTTAAGCATCTGACTTGATTTTGGGTCAGGTCATGGTCTCAAGGTCAGGAGATCGAGCCCCAGGCTTAGCGTGGTGTCTGCCTAGGGCTCTCTCTCCCTCTGCCCTTCCCCTCTCAAATAAATAAATCTTTAAAAAAAAAAAAGACAAAAAGGTAGAAGCAACTGTTCTAGCTTCCCAAAAGCTCTAAAGAATAATATGATTAAAAAAAAAAGAATAATATGAAAAACTATCTTCTCTAAAAAATGGTAACCCCCTCTCACCTAGGATAAAGCATAAAGTACACTGAATATATTGTAATGAAATGACTACCATGATGTAAATGATGTATAAGAACTGATCTTCCATAGGAGTAGAAGGTAAAGGAGGAAAGATTTCTTAGACAAAGTGCATTTGTTTTGTTTCTAAAAAAGATTTGAGAGGGCAGGGGTAGGGGGACAGTCTTTAAAGCAGACTCTACAGAGTGTGGAGCAGGCCATGGGAGCTTGGACTCATGACCCATGAGATCACAACCTGAGCTGAAATCAAGAGTCAGATACTTGACTGAGCCACCCAGGCACCTCTAGACAAAGTACATTTGAAGTAGATTTTTAAGGTTAGGTCGCAAAAAGTGGAGATGGGCTTTAGGTTAAGAGAAATAGTATGCAGAGAGGGGAGTGGGGCACCCTGGCTGGGTCACTTAGTGGAGCATGCCAGTTCTTGATCTTGGGGTCATGAGTTTGAGCCCTATGTCTGGTGTAGAGATTACTTAAAACACCCCAAACTGTATCAAAGTCCTGGGGTAAAGCAGTGTGGAGTTAGGTAGTAGGAGATAAAAGCTGGAAATGTAGGTTGGAGCCTACAGCTCTTCAGGGGGCTGAAGCATGTGGGAACAGAAGAGGACAGATGTGAGGAGATGCTGAAGACTTGAGAAGGGGTTGGATCTGTGGGAGATCAAGGGGAGGGAAGTGTGCCTTCAAGGAGCTGACCTGGGCTTGTGTCTGCAAGGGTATCATGGCACTGATCTACCTGTGTGTGGAGGACATCTTCCAGCTCATTAACTACTACAGCTTCAGCTACTGGTTCTTTGTGGGGCTCTCTATTGTGGGTCAGCTTTATCTACGCTGGAAGGAGCCTAATCGGCCTCGTCCCCTCAAGGTAATCAACCTCCATCCTATCTTCACTCCAAGGGATTTTTACAAGGCCTTGTGAAAATCAAACCTTTGCCTGGGACTCAGTGGTCATAGCATGTTGAGATGGGGGGGGGGAGGGGATGGAAAGGCTCAGTGCTCCAATCTTCACAGGGGAAACTGTTGCTCTAGCTGCCCAATCATGAGCAGTCTGACCTCCAATCATTTCCTCTGTACCCTCCAGCTCAGCCTTTTCTTCCCCATGGTCTTCTGCCTCTGTACCATCTTCCTGGTGGCCGTGCCACTTTACAGTGATACCATCAACTCCCTCATCGGCATTGGCATTGCCCTTTCAGGCTTGCCCTTTTACTTCCTCATCATCAGGGTGCCAGAACACAAACGACCTCATTGGCTCCGAAAGATTGTGGGTAAGCCTTTGGATCTTTAAGATGATTAGCTATTGTACCTCCCTCCCCCATTTAGACTCTCCAAGTCAGTTTTGCCCCAATCCCTTACTAGGAATTGTTAACTCTAAGGCTTAACAGAATGGTTCCTTTGGCCAGCCTCATTCAGTGCCATCTGAATGGAGCTCAGTTGACCTGTTCTCAGTTTTTTTTTTTAATTTATGATAGTGAGAGAGAGAGAGAGAGAGAGAGGCAGAGACACAGGCAGAGGGAGAAGCAGGCTCCATGCACCGGGAACCCAACGTGGGATTCGATCCTGGGTCTCCAGGATCGCGCCCCGGGCCAAAGGCAGGCGCCAAACCACTGCGCCACCCAGGGATCCCCTGTTCTCAGTTTTGACTCACATTTCTCTTTGTAGCATCCACTACGTGGTACCTCCAGGTCCTATGTATGTCAGTTGCTGCAGAGATGGATTTGGAAGATGGAGGAGAGATGCCCAAGCAACAAGATCCCAAGTCTAACTAAATACCATCTAGAACCATTTCTGAGATGTAGAAAGCAGGGAGCTTTCTGGCTGGAGCCAAGGAACATGAAAAGGAAAGTATACTTCTTTGAAGCTGCTCAGACCAGGTTTCTGGACAGGTGCCTTCAATTTTTGAACTTGCTTTTTGAGATGGAAAAGTAATTTATTTGTTTTGCTACACATTGCTTTATTGTCTCTTTGTAAAAAAATCTGGAGCATGTCAGGTGTGGGCTTGGTTGTACTAGTAGCACATTCCCATGTGTTAAGATGTTCACTTACCTCTGGGTGTGCCTACCCACTCCTTTTCCTCTAAAAGGGCCAATAATGCTCTGAACCTCCTGTCTCCTTTAGAGAGACATGAAATTGTCACAGGTGCTAGATAAAAGGGTTATGTTCTAAACTTTGAGTGGCTTCATTTTAGACAGGTCTCTGGGACAGTTCTCATTAGGCTACAAAGAACACCAAAAACAATCTTGTACTTGAAAGTACCTGAGTATTTTCTTTCCTTTCAAGTCAGCTGCCAGTGCCTGATGCAACCAGTCACTATACAAGAAAACACACCCAAGCTGCTCTAGCAAAATGTTGTTTGTGAAAATATCAACCTCTATTCTTAGCAATTAATTCTAAAAATTTGAGCACATGTACTTCTTGAATATTTTATAGGCTCCTAAGATAAATAAATGTAGATGGAAAAATCCATGTACGGGGTAGGAGTTTAAGAGCAGGGGCAGGAGTAATCGATCAATTCTTCAGTTTTCTGAAGTACACATTCCATTTCCTTGTTTAATAAGTATCAGGAAGCAGCATGTAGTACAGAAGTTTACTAATTCTGTGGATGGCAAGATCACTTGGCTCTTTTAGATGTGAGAGCCTGTAATGGAATCCACTTTTAAAAATGAAGATCTCTATGCCCCTCACCCCCGTTTCCAGGTCTGGGGTATGGACTCCGTATCAAATCTTGTTTTGAGGCTGAGTCTTTGAAAAGAGAGTTCCTACCAGTCGAGCATGAACGAATTCAGCCAAGCGTGTCACGCCAGGGCTGCTTTGACTTTGGCTTGGCACTGCTGCTATCAGAGCTGCTGTGAGGCTGATTCTTTCCATGCTGTAGCAGAGGGTTGTGGGTAAAGGTCTGTCGTAAGGGACCTGGGGCAAGAGAAAACAGATCTCGATGAACACAGGAAAGGAAGAACCACATCACAGATATTTATCCTGACAGGGTTATTTACCCCTAGCTGCTAGTTCCAACTGATTCTGCATGCGCCGTTCACGCTCCTGTAGCTGATGTGCCAGTTCGGCATTCTTCCACCCTGTGTAAAGAGTAAGACACTTAGTCCTATACCCACCTTTAGACTATTTCCCCCCAGTCCTGTTTCACTGAGGACAGGCCCTTACCTCTTTTGAAGCTTTTTAAGAAACCTTCCCGTGGAAGTAATTTGTTGGAGTCATGCACAACACGCTGGGGGATTTTTAGTACAGTTCGTACGGCTGGAATCCGGAGGCAAGCCACCTGGCCCAGGGAAAACATATTGGAGGAGAGCCAGTACATGAACACTGCCTGGATAAGAAAAAGACCATATTCAGGAGCTGTCATCTGCTATCAGCTTGATGGGAGATGGCTAGGCTCAGTGGAAAGGCTTGGAGCCAGTTCCTAAGCCATTACCTACCGTGGGGAAATGGATAGTTATGGGCAAGACTGCCAGGGGCATCACTCTGATCAGATTTCTCATCCACTGAAGATCAGAACTTTGCATACCAGTCTCAGCACCTAACTGCAAAAAAAAAAAAAAAAAAAAAGTAGCAAATGCATGTCAATTTTAGAGAATATGGCTCAGATTTCAACCCATCAACTATTTTATCATGCGGCAAAGAATGACAATTTAGCATAGCTACTTTACCTCCACTCCCCACCATGCAGGCCTGGCACTTTACCAACCTGGGCTTACCTCAAGGACACCCCACATTGTAGCAGTGACTACCAGTGGTAATATGTAAGTGGGGTCAGACAGTGTGAGATCCTGGAACCACAGGAGGCCACCTGTCTGTAGGCTGGGCACAGGAAGATTGGCCATTTCTCTCAAGGCAATGAAGAAGGAGATGAAGATCGGGGCCTATTACACAGGATAAACAGTGTCAAGATCCTTTAGCAAAAGGGACATTTTCATTACTCCATTACTGAAAACGCTGTTACCACCACCTGCTTTTTTGGGGTCTAGGGCATGGGAAACAGAGGAGTTTATCTGACTGGTATAGGATAAAATAAGAAAGAAAATGTTTTTGCTTACCTGAGTCAGAGGTAGAATAAGAGGTCTAAAGAGTTTAACATCATGCTTTTTCTGGTAAAATGTCATTTCCGAGGAGGCCTTGTAAACTGTGAATGTGGGGAAGTTAATGATTGGGCTAATTGTTACATCAGTAGAGGTGACCATCCTTATCACCTGGCCCATAAAATTTCTACCCGACCCTGGCCAGTCACTGGAAACATTAGGCCTTAGAAGCAAGTAGAGCTTTAGAACTTGCCCACCTCTAGCAACTCCTGATTTAGGCCATTCCCCTCCTTCAGCAGAATGTGAGGAAAGTGCAAATGTGGTCCTCTCCTATGCGCATTCTGTGTTTAACTCACACTCAGCTTGGTCTCCTGCCAACTTGGCCTCTCTGATTCGAGTGGAAAACTTCTGGATCTCCGGTAAGTGGTTGTGGATCTTGGCTGCTTCTCGCTGGCCCTTCACGATGAGAGGAAACACCAGGCAGCGGGCAAGGACGGTACCTGGAAAACACATACTAGGACTGGAGTGAAATTAAAGCAGTTCTTCAGTCAGAAGGTTGAAGGTTTTTAGGTCCTCACTGAAAGAGTGTTTCTTATTCTAGTCTTTTCAACACTGTGACTCTTGCTAAACGTCACCCAAAACAAAGGGCAGGGGTGATTTAGTTCTTCCAAGGCTTAGTCCTCTGCTTTGATATCATAAAAATTTAGCATTAACGTCTGTAAACAAATGGCCAAGAATACTGTTTATTTCCTCTAACAAAAGGAGGTGAGAGAAGATACTTTTCCAGCTCAGTGGTTTCTGAACTTTTCTGTTACCAACAGAATCCCTCCACCCTCAACTCTTTTTTTTTTTTTTTTAAGATTTTATTTATTTATTCATGAGAGACACAGAGCGGGAAAGAGAGAGGGAGAAGCAGGCTCCATGCAGGGAGCCCAATGGGGGACTTGATCCCAGGTCTCCCGGATCATGCCCTGGGCTGAAGGTGGCACTAAACCGTTGAGCCACCCGGGCTGCCCTCTACCCTCAACTCTTAGTGTAGCCCCAATATACATAACAGATAAAACCGAACTGCTCTGGGTGAGGGGGTAGTCTGGCTATAGAACTGTTCAGGCTCTGGCCTTTGCTTTTCTCAGAGTTACCATTATAGAACTCTGGGGCTCCCAGGAATGAAGTTTGAAAGCCACTATCCTAGAAATCCCTAAGGTAGGTAGTAATCTGGTGGCTTACTGCTTTAGCTCTTCCTCATTTCTTTTCTTACACTTCCTATTTCCTGATAATTCCAACAAATATTTACTTAGGTTATACATCTGTAGACCAGCAAGAGGGTCTGAGATGAGAAGAGAGGGTGATGGTGTGTGGGTGTGTGTGGAATATGGATTTAGGCTTTATCAACATTATGATGGCTGATGTGGGGCGGAAAGAGATGGGAAGCTAAGGATGAAACAGAGGATGCTAGCCCTGAAGGAGTAGACTGAGAACTGGGCAATGGCAATAGAAGTGTTCAGAAAGACTGGAAGAAAATCAGGAAAGATGATCACAAAAGCCAAGGGATAGATTTCAAGGTTTAAAGTGTTTAACAGAGTAGGAAAGATCCCGAGCTTATATCCTCTCAAGAATTTACAAAAATCTACAGTTACATACAGAACTGTCTCTGCATAAAGGACTTTAGCAGAACAGATTTATTTTTTTAGCAGAACAGATTTTATACACCTAAGTATATAAAGAAAAAGTCATCGTGAGTTGGGTAGGAGGCACAGACATGTTCCAGTCAGGACCCAAAAACTGGGAGGGATATAACAATCCTAAAGGCTTTCCCTGTGGAACAAAGGGTCCAAGTCCCATATTGAGTTCCCAGCCTTCCACTGGAAGACAAGTCCCCACTACACCTGGCTTTGAAAACCAGTAAGGCTTATACCTGGGAGGTGCAGCACAATCTCACTTGGTGAAGTTTCAGCACAGAGGCAGCAGTTTGAAAAATGTCTGGGCTACACATGAAGGAGATCTACGGACTAACTTTAGGGTATGCACTGGCAGGGCAGGGATCTGTTGGAACATTCTCTGGGGATGGAATAGCTGGCAGGCACCATTTCTAACATTCTCCATCTACTATGCTAGTACCGGTTTGACCAACCCAGCCCCTCTTAAGTGGCTCTCTGCACCCTCCTGCTGTCACACCCATCAGGTGGTCTCAGCTTACACCACAGCCAGCCCACCAAGCAGCCCCTGCCTTGCATATTAGAGCACCTGCAATAGCTGGAGCTCAGCCACCCAGGAGGCCTGCCCTACCCACCAGTGGAATGCAACTGTCACAGCTGGGCTTCGTAGTCTGTGCTGGGGCCGATTCCCCACACCTGCCCACCCAGCAGTGGCTGGGCCTTCTTCTTCTTCTTCTTCTTTTTTTTTTTTTTTTAAGATTTTATTCATTCGTGAGAGAGAAAGAGACAGACAGAGAGAGGCAGAGACACAGGTAGAAGGAGAAGCAGGCTCCATGCAGGAAGCCTGGTGTGGGACTCGATCCCAGAGTCCCGCCCTGAGCCAAAGGCAGATGCTCAACTGCTGAGCCACCTACACATCCCACAATGAGTTCAACAGAGACTATTAAAAAACCCAATCAGAGCTGTAGAATATAGTAGCGGATATAAAAAGTCCACTAGAGGGAATTAACAGATTGGGTGATACAGAAGAATCAAATCAGTGAAGACAAGGTAGTGGAAACCACCCAATAGGAACAGCAAAAAGAACAAAGAAAAATACTAAGGATCGTTTACCGAGCCTTTGGGACATCAGGTGTAACTAATATTGGCATTAAAGGGATCCCAGGAGAAGAATAAGAGATAATGGCTGAAAAATTCCCTAACCTGGCAAAGGAAACTGACATTCAAATCCAAAGAGCACAGAGAATCCCAAAAAGCCTGAAGAGACTCATGAATGGATCAAAAACTGCTCCCCAAAACAAAACCCATCTATATGCTGCCTACAAGAGACTCATATGTGAGATGTAAAGACACAGACTGAAAGTGATGGACAAAAACATTGCATGGAAATGGAAATGAAAGCTGGGGTAGCAATACTTGCATCAGACAAAATAGACTAATAAGAGACAAAAAAGGGCATTACATAATGACAAAAAAAATCCCAAAAGAATATAACACTTGTAAATATGCACACAATACAGGGGCAGCTAAATACATAATGGAAATGTTAACAGGCAAAAAGGAAGAAACGGACAGCTATATCATAAAGGTAGGGGACTTTAACACTCTATTTACATCAATGGATAGATAGTCCTGACGGAAAATCAGGAAACTTGCTTTAAACCACACATAAGACCAGACAGACTGGGGTGCCTGGGTGGCTTAGTCTGTTGTTTGTCTTTGACTCAGGTCAGTATCCCAGGGTCCTGGGATAGAAACTCCAGAAGACTGCTTCTCCCTCTGCACCTCCTCATTGCTTGTGCTCTAAATAAATAAATACAATCTTAAGGGGACAAAAAGAAGACCAGATGGACTTAATTGACATACACAAAGCATTCCATCCCCGAACACCAGAATCAAAGGTGCTTGGCTGGCTCAGTTGGGAGAACACGCAACTCTTGATCTTGGAGTTGTGAGCTTGAGCCCCACACTGGGTGAAGAGATTACTAAAAATAAACAGTAGGGGACACCTGGGTGGCTCAGTGGTTTAGCACCACCTTCAGCCCAGGGTGTGATCCTGGAGTCCCGGAATTGAGTCCCGCATTGGGCTCCCTGCATGGAGCCTGCTTCTCCCTCTGCCTGTGTCTCTGCCTCTCTCTCTCATGAATAAATAAAATCTTAGAAAAAAAATAGTAAATAAACTTAAAAATTACATTAAACAACAAAACCCCAAAATGGCAGAATATACATTCTTTTCTAGTGCACAACAACATTCTCTAGGATATATCATGTTAGGTCACAAAGCAAGTCTTTAAAAAAAAAAAAAGATTTTATTTATTCATGAGTCAGAGAGAGAGAGAGGGGGGCAGAGAGAGAAGCAGGCTCCATGCAGGGAGCCTGATGTGGGACTTGATCCTGGAACTCCAGGATCAGGGAGGCGCTCAACCAGTGAGCCACCCAGGCATCCCCACAAAGCAAGTCTAAAACTGAAGACTGAGGGATCCCTGGGTGGCGCAGCGGTTTGGCGCCTGCCTTTGGCCCGGGGCGTGATCCTGGAGACCCCGGATCGAATCCCACGTCGGGCTCCCGGTGCATGGAGCCTGCTTCTCCCTCTGCCTGTGTCTCTGCCTCTCTCTCTTTCTCTCTGTGACTATCATAAATAAATAAAAATTTAAAAAAAAAATAAAAATAAAACTGAAGACTGAAATCCTATCAAGCATCTTTTCCAACCACAATGGGATGGAACTAGAACTCAATGAAAAGAGGGAAAACTGGAAAAACCAAATGTGAAGGGTAAACAACATGTTACTAAAAATCCAATGGGTCAAGGAAGAAATGAAAGAAAAAAAAATGAAGATAGAAACAATTAGTTTAAAACCTATGGGATGCAGCAAAACCAGCTCAATGAGGGCAGCTTATAGCAGTATAGACCTACTTCAGGAAGCAAGAAAAATCTCAAATAATCTAACCTTACAGCTAACTGAACTAGAAAAAGAACAAAGTCCAAAGTTAGTAGAAGGAAGTAACAAAGATTAAAGCAGAAATAAATGAAATAGACTAAGAATATAATGGAGAAGATCAACAAAACTAAGAGATGTTTTTTTTTTTAAAGATAAAGCTGATAAAGCTTTAGCCAGACTTGTCAAAATAAATAAGATCATACACAAAAGAATAACCAATACCACAGAAACACAAGGATTGTAAGGCACTACTGTAAACAATTATATGCCAACAAATGGGACAACCTAGAACAGATACCTTCCTAGAAACATAAGATCTTCCAAGACAAATCAAGAGGAGACAGATCTGAACAGATCAATTACTAGTAATGAAATTGAATGGATTATCAAACTCCCGACAAACAAAAGTCCCAATACCAGACAGCTTCATAGGTGAATTCTACCAAACATTTAAGAGTTAATACCAATCCTTTTCAAAGTTTTCAACAACAACAACAACAAAAAGGAAGAAAAGCTTTCAAACATATTCTGTAAGGCCAGCACTACCCTAATACCAAAGACATCACAAAAAAAGGAAAATTACAGCCAATATCCCTGAACATACATGTAAAAATCCTCAACAATATATTAGCAAGAATACATTGAAAGGATCATACATCACAATCAAGTGAGATTCTAGGAATGCAAGGATGGTTCAATATACACAACACTGATACACATTAACAAAAAGAATAAAAATAATCTCAATAGACACAGAAAAACCATCTGATGATAAATTCAAAATCCATTTATGATAAAAAGTCATAGTAAAGAAGGTATAGAGGGCATATACCTCAACGTAATAAAGGCCATATATGACAAACTCTCAGCTAAAATACTGGTGAAAAGCTGAAAGCTTTTGTTCTA